GATCTTGTTGACATCCTTATGCAGAATTTGAGGCTGTGTGCAGAAAGAGCTCAGGTTTACAACTCCCACTGATGTTACAAATCCTCTCTGAATATTAACAGGCATCATTCTGATGTGAACGACAAAAGCAAGTGTTTTACCCCCACTGTACATAATTACAAAGGAGGTTATGTTCTGGTAAGTCTGAATTTGTCTAAGTGTGTGAGCTGAAATAAAAACAACCCTGTGTTTGATAACTCAGCTGATAATGTTAATTAAGTCTTGGCTGTACTAAGATCAGATTATGAAAGATCAGACTGCAGCTGTTGCTGTGTAGGAAGGATCGTCTCATGGTTGTGGGCTAGCTAGAGACACTCAGCTCCCACTGGATCTGTGTAATCTCTGCCAAGTCACTTTATCTCTTTGTCTACTTTTAAGTTGAACATTTAAACTACTCAAGCAGTCCTTCTTACTCTCAGCTGGGAGGTTACCCCAATCCAACAATAAGGTGAGATTTACTGCCTTTTTCTGATGTTCTGGTTTTCCTGGAAATGAAGCACTGATGTGGAGTGAGACAGGAATTACAGATGTGCGGATCAGATGTTTTGTGTACTATGCAGCTGTGGGCAGGACCTTGTGAGATGCATCTCCAAGTTACCTTGTTTTGTAAGTTTCTGCTCCTGGTCGGCATAATGGGGAACAGCACTACCAACTCCTAAAGTTTTGTTATTACAAGGAAAAACTATTTGGTTTAGCTTGGTTTGGTAGTTTGTTCAGTTCATTGCTTCTGTTTTACTAGCCAAAACAGATTAGATCACAATATGAGAATATACGTTTTCCCTAGACCCTAACAACATGCATGTAGCTAAGAATGCAAGAAGAGTGAAAGCATATGTGATATCTTCCCATTGTTCCATCCTCCAGCAATTTACGGCTCAAGCACCTTTCCAGTTTGGAAATACTGTATTGTGTTGAGGAGCACTTTGTAACAGTGTTCTGTACTTTTACCCAGTTTTTGAACCCGTGCACAATAAAGAGTTTGTGATAATGTGAGCAGTGGACACCTAGGAGCAAGTAGGTGTACTTTGCAGTCATCAGGGGACTACTGTACATTTGCACCTGTGTTTTCAGTAAATTCCCAAAAGGTTAAGTGTTGGCCAGATGATTTTTTCATCTCTATTCTGCAAGATGCAGCAAGGTGAGACCATGCAAACGTTTGCTTCACTGCTTTACTGAAAATACTCCTCTATCAGAAAGAGTATTCACTTTCAATCTCCATATCTGTGGACCCTGTACCTCAGCAGTTCTCCCAGTTTATGTATTTTCAAAAAATTCACTGTGATAACAGCTGAAATGCCTTTTAGTCTTGAGTTCTTAATAAATGAATTCCCTTATATTTAGACTTTCTTTACCAACCAATCCATATAGATTTTTAAGGAACAAAATGGCATTACACTAACCTAATCTCCCTCTCACATGCTACCACCCTTGGTACATGGCTAGAGCAGAAACAATGCCAAATATCCACAGTGTAGAAGGCATTGGTTCTCTTTCACAAAATTTCCCATAGGAAATCAGAGGTTTGTAGAGTAGAAGGGCTTATTGTAAATATTTTGAAAGAGCCATTAGCAGCCTGCACTCAGATGATATTTTCATGGTCTCCATGTCCAGTCACAGGCTGTGTGGAAGGGAAGCAAGATAAGCCTGATCCTGTGCCATAATTTGATTAGTGATCCAAATGGCACACTGTTCTGGGTTTGACTGGGATGGAGATAACTCTCTCACAGCAGCCCATAATGTGCTGCAGTTTGGATCTGTGGCTACTACAGATCTACAGATTTTGGCTGTTGCTGAGCATTGCACACCATTAAGGCTTTCTCTTTTTCCCATCCTGTATCCCAACCAACTAGGCTGAGCTTGGCAAGAGGTTGGGAGGGGGCTGACCCCGACTGACCAAAGGGATATTCCGTGCCATACTACATCATGCTTAACAATAAACAGTAAAAAAGGGTTGGTTTTTTTTTCCTGTGGAAAGTAGGCATTGCTTAGAATCTGACAACGTTATGAGAGATGATGAGTGATTGCCTTTGCATTGCCTGCTGGATTGTTTCTTTTCTCTTTCCTTTACTTAGATTTGCCTCAGCTCTGATGTTTTCTTGTTTTTGCTCTTCTCTGCCCTGCTGAGTGTGGGGAGAGAGCAAGTGACTGTGTGGTGATTGCTGACCACTGTCAGTCACCACAATAATAGAGAATGAAATAATGCAATTAGTGAAAATCACAGTTTGGTGACAGTAAAAGGGTGTTTGGATTTAAGTCTCCGTGGTGGCTGGATTGTATGGTTTAGGAATAGATTGCCTTTCAGTACAATGACTTCTCTTTGGTTAAATAAGGAATTTGATGACATGAAGAGTTATGTCTCCTTCCTAAGCTGTTCTAGGCTATAAACATTTTCTTAGTTAAGTGAGGCTCATCAAAATCATCTGCTTTTGCTGTAGATAAAAAGCACATGCAGATCATGGCGGTGGCTCACTTGACATCTGGTAACTTTGGTTGTCTCAGACACACTGGGTCTCACTGTTTCACTGCACTAGTCCCATGCTTTGAGATATCTGTGATATTTGAACTCTCCCATAGAAAGAGAATAATTAACCAGAACTCCAGGCTAGATTTCCGGTCAAAACTGGCCTAGCTCTCTGGATTTGGCTGGTAGATAAGCTGACCTATTTTGTTTAAGATTTCCCTCCTGCCTTGGTGTAACACATCAGAGCACTGCAGGAATGCAGTCTTTCGTACAACTTCAGGAGATCTTTATTGAGCATGGGTTTTATAATTGCTATCTGCAGATACAGCAATTTCCTTTGCAGTTTAAGGAAAGATGCCAAAATGTAAATGACTGAGTGTCACTGCTGTGTTGTGACAGGGCATTCTGAAAGAAAGAGTGATTGATGACATGTATATAACCAAACCATTGTATGTGCTTTTTATATTGCAACAGTACTTAAAATGTGGGCTGTCAGTCAAAGAACAGCTTACTTACACAGTGCTATAGTAAGTGGTGGTGGGTGCAGTGAACAAGGTATTAGGGTAAATGTTTCGCTTCTGCACTTCAAACAGCTTTAGCTCTTTATTTCCCGCTGCAGCTAGCCATTCTAAAAGGATCCATTGCTTGAAGCATGAGACTTCATTGAGGGCTGCTTGTAGCTCTTTGGTGCTGACACCAAAATTGAAGCCAGTTTTTGAAATAGACTGCTTACGTTTTCTCCCGGAGCACAGTTAAAGCAAACCTCGGTGGCAACATTTTACGTGGCTGCAGAAACCCCCAAAGGCCTCAGCTGCAGACCTTCAGTTCTCTGTGCTTTGCCAAGGGCCTGAGGATCCAGCACAGCAGGTTTCACTGAGTGCTGTGGGTGCATTGGGCACCTATCAAGTGAGAACAGAGGACAAGGGTTGCAAGCCACTCTCAGTGCCTCTGTCTGTATGGAGGTGAGGAGGGAAATGCTCTGCAGGCCTGGATGCTGTTGCTTTAGGTGGATGGAAAGAGAAGCCACCCAGCTACACGCCAAAGTCTGTGCACCACAAGAAACATCTCAGCCAGATTAGCAATGGAGACTGGGCCACCTTCCTCTGCCTGCTGCTTGCCCTCTCAGCAGACTGGTAAGGCAGAGTGGGCAGGAGGAGCAGACACAAGCATTGATGCAGAGCGTGGCTGCCCATGAGCTTGGCCCGTAACGGAGAGGTGGTGGGAATTTTGCCAGGTCCGGTATGACTTTGTGGTGTGTATGTAGGGTGGGAGATAACAGGTAAATCCCCTGTTGCTGTAAGTGTAGTAGAGAAGAGACAACAAAATGTATGTGACTTTTGTAATGAGATAGAGCAAAAAAGGTCTTTCCCTTTTCCCTCTTTTTGATAACTGAGAAAAAAGGAATGTGTCATTTACAAGTACAGAAAATAGTCAAATCATTGGAATTTTCCTTCTTTACACATACTGCTCATCATTTTCTAAAACCATTAAGGCTTATCTTATCCATAATGACAGTTCTGCCTATGTGCTTATAAATTGCATCCTTGTAAAGACAGTTTCTACATGCCAAGAAAACAGTCTGTAAGTACACGCATCACTTCCATGTAAAAAGCTTTTCATTTTATGCTTATGACCAGCCTGAAAATTGTCATCAAGAATCATCTTTTGAGTCACATCTGGATGCTGTGGTTTGATGTGTCACCACTTGCAAGGACCTTTGAATATAGCCTTATGGATCAATATAAAGTTGTTTCCTGAATTTGATTTTTTTTTCTGCAAAATGAGAAAAAATGTTCACGATTGAACTACATCTGTCCAGGTACAGCTTGATTATGTAAAGAAGCTGTAAAAACATGTTAAGTGCTGACAGTTTTGATATTTTCTAATGTGAAGTATTACATTATTTTTTATTCTTTTATATTTGTAAATTACACATCACTGTGTTGTACCTGCTAACTTCTTTCTTAGGATGTGCTGCATTATTTTGTAGTGTGCATTTCTGTCTATACTTATTGGCTCTTTAGAAATTTCTCTAATTAAAAATAATTATGATATCACAAATTTAAGGCTTTGGTTATTCTTTGTAGAAAAAATGTTAGAACAAGTACAGCCCCTTGTTTCACAAATGAGTCAGTTCACAATGGGCTCATTACTCAGATTGGGCTCAGCATGTGGCACTGGAGTCCACGCCTTGCATTTGTTCTGGAAAGCAGATTGCCTCTAATTAAACAGCTTTCCACAGATCTCTGTGCACAAAATTGTATCCCAGTGTCATGAGGAGTTCACTTTGTGCCATATTCCAGTCACTAGTTGTAGAACTGAACTGAAGTTGACTTTTCAGTCATGTGGCAAGTATGTAATGATGTTTTCAAGTGTGCTTTGTGAAATTCACTTTCATTTCTTTTTGTTCATTCTTTTAAAGGAAATTTACTTTGGGAAGAGCCTTTCACACAAGCTAACTGCTCTTTCTTTGTTGTCTTTTTCCTTCTCCCTCTTGCAGACCAGGATGAGAGAGCAGCAGAGCTCAGCAGGGAGCAGAACGAGAAGACCATTCGCAGCACACAGACAGCTCTCCGCAATTTCCGCGAGTTCCTCATCTCCAAGTATCCCTCTGAGACCCGAGAGATCTACGTCATCCCCTGCAAAGAGCTCGATGCGTACCTTGCTTCGTTCTTTGTGGATGCCAGGCAGAAGGATGGGTCTGAATACGAGCCAAACAGCCTGGCCAACTATCAATGTGGGCTGGAGCGTTATCTGAAGGAGCACAGGTACGGATACAGTATTACCAGGGATAAGGAGTTCAAGAGGTCCCAAGAAGCCCTAAAACAGAAGCAAATAGAACTGAGGTGTAAAGGTAAAGGGAACAAGCCACACAAGTCCATGAAGCTCACCTTTGCTGACGAGCTTATCCTGCGCAAAAGAGGCTTGCTAAGCCGGTACAATCCTGAAGGGCTCTTGAACCTTGTCTGGCTGAACAACACTAAGGCATTTGGACACTGCACAGGTTTTCATGGGTCCACCCTCAAATGGGGAGACATCCGGCTGCGGGTGACAGAGACAGGGTTGGAGTACCTGGAGTGGATGGGACCAGACAGTGGAGATATCAATGCCAAGAGCAAGAGAGGTGGGACAGACTCTCGGGTGTATGCCACCCAGCACTCCCCACAGACCTGTCCTGTGCAAGACTACAAGGAGTATGCCCAGAGGCGGCCTCCAGCCATGCGCTATGAGGATGCACCTTTTTACCTGTCAATCAAACCCGTTGTCAACTTGGCTGCCCTTCACTGGTACAATTGCCAAGCGCTGGGGAAAAATAAGCTTGCCAAGATGGTAAAGACAATGTGCGAGAAGGGCAACATCCCTGGCAGGAAGACCAACTTCAGTGTCTACCAGAGCTGTAGCACACTGTCAGAAGCTCAGAGCAACCAGCTTGTGCTGATCTGCAATAACTTGAGCCAGCAAGCTGCCCAGTCCATGGCAAGCCATACCAATACTGGCAACTTCATAGTGTCAGCATCCTATGACTCTTCCTCTGACACAGCTTGAAAGAGGGGTATAACTTGGACAGATTTTTCTCTTCTGTTTTGTTTTAAGCATTGAATTTGTGCCCAATAATACACATCAACTGTGATTGTACACTACTCTCCCATAGCCCTCTCTCCAGTGTTAATTCACTTTATAAAAAAATATAAATATATAATATATTTTTCTTTTTACAGATAAGTCAATAGAGATAGTTTAGTAATACTAACATAGTATTTATAGTGTTAATACAAAAATGAATGTTACTTGTGGGTTATAATATAATTGCAGATTTTAAAAGGACAAAAATGGTTCTCAGGCAACACAAGATAGACTGGAAATACCCTTTTTAACATGCACACATCAGTGACTGTAATTCCCCAGGGAGACTTACGTAGCAATTCTATTTTAAAGCATTTTTTTGACTTCTTATGTTAACATGGCCTCCTAGAGTGGAGGAGGCAAATCTACCACTGGCTGCTGCTTCTTACCTGCTGGCTTGTTCTTGATCAGAAATACAAGGAGATAAGAGATACATCAATGTAAGTCTGTGAAACCATTTACAAGAAGTTTTCTCTGTTGTTTTTTTCTTTTGTTTTGTTGTCTTTTTTTGTTGTTGTTGTTGCTGTTTGTTTGTTTCCTGAGGCTTATTTCTGCCAGATGGAAAAAAAAATCCCAAAGTCAGCAAAAGGCTATTTTTAACTTTTGTTTTTGTTGATTTTCTGTTATCAGAATATCACTGGTCTTTAGACTGAAAAGTATTGTTTTCAACGGTAAGCAAAGGTATGTTGGCAAAAACAGTCGTGTACATAATTTTAACTAAGCACTGACCATTAATGTTTTGTCACTGTGTATTCTTAATGTAAAATCTACTGACTTTTATCCACTCTTTCACTACTCTTGGGGATGTAGGTGTGCAGAAAAATTCATTATCTTATCCCAAACCATTCAGATAAAATGCATCAAATCTGTCCTAAGCCATTATTCAAACTCACAAGAAATAACATAGGGATAGTTTCATATTTTCTACAGAAGATTAAAAAGATGAGTAGTTTTAAGCACTGGAAAACAAATCAAAATCACCTATGTGTAATCTGTTTTCATTGCAGACAATGGAAATTGTGTATGTGATTCTTAGGGAAGAATTTGGTCCTTTAAATACTTGAAATAATGAATGCTGTTGTTCCCGTATTTGATTTTGTAGCATAGTTGTTCTATGAGTACAGGGAAAACACTAACAAATTAAGTGTGTCAGTGAACCATTACAACTCTTGACTTTTAAAATGATGTATGGTACCTCTGCAGTAATTCAGCTTAGCTTATTCAGCGTTACAGATGGAAATGTTCCACTAGCATACCTTAGCGACTTGGTAAGTCTATGGTGTCCTCCAAAGTCCATGAAAGATTCAGCCTCAGCTCACATCCCATCAGACTGTTACTGAGGACTTTTCTTTTTGCTTTTGTCCTTCTTTAAACTTCATTGGTTTTATTTCTTTACATTCTTTCCTTTCTTTTATGTAGTTTAAATCTGCAACTGTGCAGTAAACTCAGTCATCACTAATTAAAAAAAAAAAAAAGTGCAACAGTAGCATAAAGAAATAAATTATCCCACCTGGGGCCATTTAAAAGTTGTTTTTGGTGTTGCTGGGATGAGGTGTGTATTCCTGTGTATGAAGGAAGTGGCAGAACACCTGTGTCTCACTTAATCCTGGAGGTCTGTTTTGGACAGGGAGTGATTAGCAGATGTCCCACAAAAGGTTTGGGAGCAGAGATTTCCTCTTTAATGAACATCTGTCCTCCCAGGAAGCGTCGTGCAGGTGACAGAGCCTGAATGATCACTCATTGTTCTGCACAGCAGAGCTACTATAATGCCTTGGTGCTCTGTGTGCTGGCTGCCCTAGGGTCTGGCACGCCAAGGCAGGGTAATCTTATCTGCAACCCCTGAGAGCGCTGTCTCTTAGTGCTGCAAGGTAGGCATTGGTGTGACAGGCACTCACATTGCAAAGCTGTGCTTTTGTGGCTTGGTTCTGATGCTTGAGACAAAGTGTTGGCACTTCTGAAGTAACTGCAAGTGCCTGTGACTGCCTTGCCATGGCAAATCTGGTAAAGATGAAGGAGAGGGAAACACAGACATCTGCTGCTTTGCTTCCACATGAGGCCAACCAGTTATCTTTTCATAGCAATGCTCTACATGTGATACAAGTGAAAATAATTTTGCAAGGCTGATGTTGCTCTCTGTAGGATTTCATTGCTGTTTGCTGCTGAGTACTCAAGTCACTGATCTCTGTATGCAGTGAGTGCTAGGGTGTCATGCTAGAGAGCTCATTCATGATGTTCTGTAGAGCTCCACAAGGGAGCTGCTAGGAAGGGTTTTGCTCTCAACTTCCCCCTGTGCTCACCTCTTAACTATTGCAGAACCTGACCCATCTTCCTTTCCTCTCCCAGAGTACAAAGCCAGGTACCTGATGGCCTTTGTGGAACAGCACATTTCCCTCTTTGCTGGGAAGACTTGCCTTGAGGTTGTACAGAAAAGTAACTACCCCATGATGTGGCTGTCTGTTGTTTCTTCTCAGACCCCATAAAGCATGAAACAAAATTCAGTAGTAATAAACAGTTTGCCTGGTTAGGGTTTATTGCTTCACAGTGGGCTGTTTTGTGTGGACTAATAACTGTGGTAATCCCACACATTTTGGACTAGATGATCTTATAGGTCATTTCCAACCTTGTGATTCTATGATTCTGTGATTTTCTTGCCTTTGAGAAGGCAGATCACTGTCTGCAGATGTGCAGTGCTGCATATGGTCTGCAATGTTCTGATTCACATCTACACTGTAATTCAGCCCCAGCACAGATCTTGATCTTGTCTCCAGCTCCACTGTCCATATATAGAATTGCTGTCTTCAGTTTTAGGGTGGTTTGTATCTTGCTGTGCCAAGGCAATGTCTCTGATAATGTTGCACATCAGGAACTGTTGCATGTCTGGTTAGGAGGTAAGGTGTGAATTATGTGTTCTCATTGCAGGAGCCTCAGCATTACAGGGCTGTGTTTTCTCTGCTCTGTGGCATCTGCAGTAACTCCAGCCCCCAGTGATGCTGATGGCAGATTGCCTGGCAAATTCTGATCAGGCATCCCCAAATAGACTACTTGTAGAAGCAGTTAAGCACATATGGCCAAAATATGATACTGAAGGAGTATCATACTCCAAAAATAGGTATGTTATCTTCAAATGGCATTTAGCACCACATACTACCCAGTCTTCATTTGCAAATAGTCGCAAGGAATTGAGTGATGACAGCCTAATTAATTATGATCTGTATTAAGCTATTGAGAGTGTCATTAACCCACTGGGAGGGAGACTTCTGATTTAAAACACTGGTCATGGTTTTGTTTCTGCTTGGCAGGAGTGTAGTGTCCCAGCTGCCATGTTGTTGCTGACAGATGGCAACCCATTTGCTTGCTGTTGTCTCCCAGTGCTTTGAGGGTGTCAGAACCTGCTCACCAGTAAGTCTCATGCTTACCATCATGGTGTGGATCTGCCCCAGTAAAAAGCCATAGGGAGATGGTCAGGGAGTAGTGCTGCACTCTTAAAATCATAGAGTCATAGAATAGCTTGACTTGGAAGAAGCCTTAAAGATAATCTCATCCAGTGCTCTTTCTTTGAGCACGGTTGATGACTGCTAGATCAGGCCGCCCCAGTTCCCAGCCAACCTGGCCAACCACAGCTTCTCTGGGCAACTGTGCCAGGGCTTCACTGCCTTTTGAGTAAAGAATTCTTCCTAACATCTGATCTGCAAGCCTTCGTCTCTGCCTAGGGCCTGGTGTGTCCTACCATAACTCTTGATACTTCACTACTTCTTACCATGGAATCAAGAGGCCAGCTCTCAGATCACCATTCAGCTCCTATACAGCATAGCCCAGGTGTGGTGGCTGAGTGGGTCACTTGCAGAGATCCCCTGCAGGCAGATGACAGTGCTTCTTTCTTCTCTCTTTTTCCTTTCCTGTTTTCCTGACTTTCAGCTTTCTCTGATCTGGTATTGGACCTCATCAATCAGCTCACTAGCTCAGCATAAAGCATAAAAGCGCAGAGGGGGAAATTGAGATAGTTCTCTGCCAGATTACTGACTTGATTCTGCTCAAAAATGATTTGCAGCTCCAGAGGGAGAGGCAGAGGAGGATGTTCCCTGTCTAAAGGCTGCACTGCAGCTTTGGAAACCCATCACAGAGATAATGCAGTGGGAGCACCTTCTGTGTAGTTTGCAGCTGTTGGTTGCCTTCTGAACTATTACTTGTGCATGTATTTGTGGCGCTGTAGGCTTGCACAGGGTGTTTCTATTCATAATGGTAGTTGAAGCTGAAATTCTCAATATCTGGGTTTTGCAAACTGCCTGTTAAATTTTCAAATACAAATTTATGCAACAAAATGTGTTTTTAAGTACAGTAATTTTAGTAATTTTAAGGAGAATGAAATACTGTTCTGAACTACCTTGTAGACTAAATTAACTTAGTTATGAAGCATATCTAAAACAACAGTACATACCTTATTCATTTACACAGTTCAGTAATTCTGGGATAGCATCCACACCATTGGAATATAGGACAGTCTAACAATGAAAGTAGTGGTGCACATTCTCCTTTGTGAAGAATATCAATGCTTTCAAGCTATTTTCTATTTTTATTTTTAGAAGCTGCTCATCACTAGTATTCAATCTACAGTGTAGTTGCCCACTTATTTCTCTTAGAAAGGAGTGTAGAAAATGAGATTTGAGAAGCAACTTATATTGCTGTTTGTCCCTTCTTGCCTGTTTGTGACTGTCTTCCACGGCAGGTTGTGCAAATGATGTGTGATATGAAGACATGGGTCAGGAAGAATTGATGTTGAGTCATGGCAGAGCCTATGCTGCCCCAGTTCTTGGAGCAGCCCCAAGGGAACTGAGATGCTGTATACTGTACATTTCTTCCCTGCCCAGCTAATATTTACCCCTTTTTTGTCTCCCTGCCTGAGGACATCCCATAAGTGCATTGACTGACATTGACTGACGTGGTGTGTGGGCTGGTTATTCCTCCCCACCACCAGCTGCAAATGACTATGGCTGACCAACTGGTCTTCCCCATCCCTAGCGTCCCTCTCTCCATCCCTTTGTACCTCTAACATTCCTTTCTCCTGGTGTTTGTCATAGGGGAAGGGGACTGCTCTGTGGAGGGCAGCACAGAGTTCCCTCCCTGCTATCAAGTGCCCTTGTGCTTTGGGGATAATGTGCTCAGGGCAGGCTGCCTCACTTCGAGTGCATGTGGTCCGTGGGATACATGATCACTCACAGGCTTGCATCTCTTGTCTCCCAACACTCTCCCTTTCCCTTCTTCTCTGATTTTTATGGGAGTGCTTTCAAATCATAAAAGGAGAATAGAACACAGTGATGTGTTGAGGGCCAGTTTTGTGCCTTTGCCTGGCCTTCCAGTGATGTCTTTAAACTGAGTAGAGATGACTGATCCTCCTCCACAGTACATCCTGGACTGACACTAGAGTGGAAATCAATTTGTCTTAGGCAGAGTGAGCAATAGGAAAGCAGGACCTCCTTGATGCCCTACGGCCATTTGAATGTATGGGAAGGAGGAATGCTGACGGGACGCAGCACTGAGGTTAGATTTGCCTGAAATGAGCCAATGCATGCTAGGTTAGCGGGGATTCAGCTGTACACTACTAAGTGTGGCTGGCAGCGGATCTGCACTTTTTAATGAGGGTTCTTTGTTAAACATTAGTGTTAACAAGATGGTTGTCTTGCCTAATGTGAGTTGCTGTCCTTGTTCTTAAAATGGGGATGTATTTTCTTCTATTTCTATGCTTTCATGTAAGTGCTGAATCTGCACGCTCTGCTGAGGAAGAGTGTGAAAAGAAGGCAGTCCAGCATAAAGCATGGCTATCTTCCTAGCAGGAGAACTGGGACTGCACTTTCTGGGGATGGTCGCCATGCACCGAGCCTGCTTTGTAGCCAGGAGCACTGGCACATCATCCGGTATCTCCCACATGTCTGATGGCCCTATGCAGGGTCAGCGTGGGTGTCACAGCACCTCTTTGAAAAATCAGAGCCCTGGGCCAGCCAGGTAAGGCAACTGTGCTTCTGCATGCTGAGCAGGGGAAGGCCGTAAGCACAATTCGGCGATGGTGCTGTCCCTGTGTGCAGGATGGACACATGCAGCTGGCACATGGGGCTGTGATGTATCTCTGCATAGGTTTTGGAAAGCTGAGCACCAGCAGGAATGTGGAGGCTGGTTCTCCATGATGCTCTACTGGATAACGTTAGCTGGCAACGGAGTGATCCTTCAGAGGAAGACAAGTTCCTCAAAGCCCCAAGAAATGGTGTGGCTGCATGGCTGCCAGCTCCACCAGTGAAACCGAGTGCTGGTTCCATCCTGCCTCTGGGGCTCTGCTGATGTTGTCCGCCAGCACCTCGACTCTTCCGAATCCAGTGGAGAGGCACTGACTGCAGCACAGCGTGGGAAAGCCCCACAGCTTGGAGATGTCTGTGGGCTCATTGAAAAGTCTGACAATGGTCATTCACTGGAGTATATTCAAAGTAATGGGGATGTCTAAAGCTTTAACTCCTAACCTGACGGGGAAAAAATCAGTTTGGCACAAAATTTACTTGTTCCATGAACTGGTGGGTTTTAACAGTCTCTGGAGTTTATGTCTCAAGTCAGAAATTTATTTTCTCTGTTTTCTCACTTTGTTTAATGTTGGTTGGTAATATGAACAAAATTTGTTTTTGTTTTTGTTGTTTTTTAAATACAAATGCCATTAAATGTCTGTGCATTGGAAATGGACCTACTGTTTCCAGGGGATTGAGACACTTCTACCTTCTCTTTTATTCTGGTGCTCAGCACTCATTACACAGCAGCCACTCGTCTCTGACAAAAATTAGTACTCTTTCAGATTTATTTGATCTGTTGTAGTTAATAGAAGATTTATTCACAGTGTTTGGGATTTTGTATGGTAGATGCTAACTCTGATGCTAACTTTTACGCTACATTTGGGAATTTTGGCTAGCTCTGTTCTGTACAGTCCATAAGCATCATGCAAATTGTGAAATTGCCAAGCAAGGGGAAAAGAATCAAGAAAATATAAAATGTTCTTTAAAATACTGTATTATTCTTACTCTAGAAAAAAATAAACTATTAACATTAATTTTAATGACGCTATCTTCACCATTTCAGCTGTTCTTATTGTGAACAGAGAAAACTCTGCAATATTCCTCAGGCTTAGAATTTGATCTGCTTTGTAAAGGCTTGTGATCCTGCTGAGATTGTCTTCTGCATCATTATAATGTGTTCTCAGCTGGCCTGAATCACACGTAGCCTTAAGTACTGCCACACTGCTCCTGCCAGTATTCCTCCTTCCCTTCTGCTACGTTGCATCCAGGCTGGGCTGCTCTGCACAAGGCTGGGTGTCAAATGCAGAGCAGAAACACCTGGAGCACTCAAGACTTACAGGCAAATTGTGACATAGAATGTGTTACAAGAGTCTGCAAGCTGGCATGGGGAGAAGGGAGAAGTAGATGGCAGTGCCCACAAGCCCAAGTGCTGCTGGTGGGCAGAGCTCGGTGTCTGCCCTGCAGAGCTCAGTGAGGAACACACCCCTGGGCTTCATGTTTCTACCCACCTTGTTGTCACAGATGGGTCTGAAACCTGCAGGAGAGGACATCATCCAGCCACTGCTTTGTTGTCTGGACTTGTCTGTGCCTGCGTGACCCACATACCTCTGGGTCATCTTGAGACCTATTAGGCAGACAAAGCTATTCAAGACATAAAACAAAGAAATGGCAAAATGTCTGAGTATAGTGAAGGCAGTGGAAAGGCAGTGGAAAAGCCTGGCAAATGCAATAAAAGTTGTTGTGTTTTTTTTTCCTAAAGAAGGCAAGCGTAATCCTCGTCTTTAAGCTATCCTTTAATATCCTACTTTGTTTTACACTGGAATTAGAAAATCTTTTCCATTTGTTTTAATTATCTGCTGACTTTAATTCTGCCTTTGAAAAATGTTTTTGCTGTGGTGAGTAGCGTTAGGGAAAAGCAGTTAAAGTAAAGCTTTTATCTTTCCCTACATGCAATATTTAATCATTCTAATCTTTTAATATGAATGTGGTTTCTCCCATTCTGAAAATTGACAAGATTAAGGCTGCCTCTCCCAAAATAGCAGTTCAAAAGCACGTTTTGCTTAGGCATAGCTAGTGCAATACATAACCAGCTAGCAAAGCATGAGAATTCCTGTAAGTGACCAATTGATTCTCAGAGTTAAACCTGTGTCTGAGGCTAACTTTCACGTGCCAACTTTTCTAACTCTGCCTAAACTCAACTTTTTTAAGAACAGTTTGTAAAAAAAGTACATTCTTTTGTTTTATATAAAAAGGGTGTTAAAAGATTCACTGTTCTGCCAAACAATAATATTTCTATGCACTGTGTCATTCGGTGGTGTTGCTGTTGAAATTTTGCATGTTTTCTGGACGTTCTGACATCCGTATGTTTATGTGGTACTTGTAGAAATGCTGACCATTGCTGCTGTGATCAGAGCCACTGAAAAACTGAGAGCTGTACTGAGAAGCCCTGCCAGTCAGCAGGTATTTCTGTGTGTCACAGTAAATCTCTGCGTTCTGACGTTGTTTCCTGTGTTAAGCCAATATTCAGTGCCTTCTGGAGAAGGAACCAACATGTTGCAGTAGGCAGGAGGTGCTGAACGTTTCATGTCTTCTTCTGAACAGTTGACCACTTATCAGCTTGATCCTTAAAGAACAAACAAACAAAAAGTATTAAAGAAAATCTTGAATTCTCCATCTTTCTTTGAGGTGTCTTCTCATCAATTTTAATTTGGAATAAAAAAATTAAGATGCCCAACCAACTGCCTTGATGAAGCTAAGGGCTCCTGCAGCCGTATGCCAGCTGTGAACGTGAGGGGTAAGACATTCCTGTGGAGCAGATCCAGTGATCAGCCAAGCCTGTGAGAGCTGTTGTGGAGTTTGCTAAAAATGCCTACTAATGAAAGCAATCCTCTGATTACTGTAAGAAACTGCCAGCTCTCCTAGCAGCTGTGAGCCTGCTCCTGTAAACAAGTGTCAGCCTGGTCAAGTGGTGGATTCCAGTCACTTTCCCACCTCCGCTGAAGCCACGCTTTGCTGCCAAATGAGCCTTGGATGAAATTCAAGCCTGAGATTTTTGGTCTTGTTCTTTCCAATTGCTTTCATGGCAGGCGGGCCCTGTTTATCAAAATTCTGACACCACATTTTCAGCTCCTTTTCCACCTTCCCCTTAGAATCTGGCAGTATAGCAGATACACACATACCCAGAATTAATTTTGACTTAGCTAGGATTTTGACAGGCTGAAATCATACCATATTGTATTTGTACAACAGAAACAAGCTGTGGGTAAAAGTGTGATCTGTCACAGATCCCTGCCACCAGGCACAGTCAGCTGCACCTGGTCTGCTCTGAAAGTACCATCTTATGTGCAAACAATGAAGGGCTATAGCCATTGTTTCATGATCTCTGCTGACAGGTGAAAGTCTGCTAAACATCCTGAAAAGGTTTTCAAATCAGAATACCAGAAAAAAAACAAACAAAAAACCTGTGTGACTGGGACAATAACAGAGAATTGAATTCATTCCTGCTGCTCTGAAGCCATCTCTGCATCTCTGTACAAGGCAGCGTGCAAAGTGCTTCTCCCAAAATAGTTTACATCACAATCTTCAAAATTGCCATTCCTTTTTGTCACACCTGGAACATTTACAAAAAGCAGTATTGCAAGGTGCAGGCTGGACCACCCTGGAAGTCTGTCCATGTAGTAGTCCTCTCCCACAGACCAATGGATTCAGGGTGCAGTCTTGCCTCAAATACTGTGTTCATTTCTGGGATCTACAATAAAGAAATTGTTAAGGTCCATGAAACAGTTTGAAAGACAGCAAAAAAAAAGCTAGAAAGCAGAAAAAAAGGTAGAAGGTTTGGTAGAAGGCATGTGAGGCACCGTGTGAGGAGAGGTGGGCAGACCTGGGTTATCGTGTGTGGAGGTGGCAGAAAAGTGGTCACTGCTCTGCAGCTCCCTGAGGGGAAGCAAAGGGACATGCTGGGCTGAGCCCCCTGGTGGGACAGAACACAAAGGGGTGGCACAGAGCTGCACCTGGGGAGGATGAGACGGGGCATCGGGAAGCATTCCTTCACCATGAGGGCAGTCAAACTGTGGAACGGGCTTCCTAGAGGTGACACAGCTGTCAGTGGCCAAGGGGAATTTGGGCAGTGTGCTCAGTGACTGCTGTGACTGTTGATTAGCAATTGATGTTGAGTGAAGGCCCCTTCCCACTGAGTTGTTCTAAACGTTCCTAGAACATTTCTGAAATCTCAACCGTCCAAAAGTGATAAGGGTGCTTGAGGCCTTTTGCAGTATTTCAGTTCCCATCTCCTGGATGGAGTAAGGCTGTCCTCAGAAATAAAGGGCCATTTTATTGCTCTAAAATCCAATGGCTTCTTCATAGAATTATAGAATCATAGAATTGCTCAGGTTGGAGAAGACCTTAAAGAACATGAAGTCCATCTGCAGCATAACCGTACTACCCTAACTCTAGTAACCCTCCTCTAAACCATATTCAGCTGCTTTCTGATGCCAGCTGAGACCAGCTGCAATGAGTTTCTCTGTTGTTTTTGGTCTCTAGTGGCTATGTACACATGAACACATCTCCGCCAGTGCAGTGAGGAGTTTCTGCTCCACAGAACTCCTGCCTGCATAGGCCTGATATTAGGTATGCAAGGCAGTGGCAGAGAGTCTTATTCCTTGCATTTTTTGTCTTTTTAGCTAGGTCTTAGTCTTCCAGTCCAACTAATTGCAGAAATTGACTTAGCAATTGCAACCTACTGTAGGGAACCTGCTTTAGAGTGAAGGATCTTCATAAGTCCCTTCCAACCCCTATAATCCTGTGATTCTGTGATCCTGTAATTGGTAATTGGTCCTTAGAGCTCCTTCCCACACACTGACCCAACCTGCCAAAAGGTGTGTCAGGTTCTTGCAGAACTACAGTTGTATATTTCCATCTTCACTTTGCAGATGCATCTACACTGCCTTCAGCTTAGATTTGAATCAGAAAAGCAAACAGCACCGTTTAGTTAGCTCTTTGCATGCTAGAAATCCAGTTGTTTTACAGATGCAGATGTGGCGTTAGGCTTCAGCCTGCTGCCTGCAGAGTGTGAGAAGTTTTCCTGGCGTTTGTTCATTTTTCACCACAGCTCTCTGGTTTCAAGAAGCAAATGGGCTGATGTTAATGCTGTAGTGGATTTGATGCCACCGCCCCATCAGTGTGATGCCTTCCGTGTACACGTTGTAAGCTCCTGTAATTGTGTTTTGACCTAAGTGCACTGTGGTGCAGGAAAAGCTTTTTGATTTTTATTATTATTATTATTGAATAATAAAATAAAACCCTATTGCATTTCTGTCTGTGCTGCTGAAAGGAGACAAGAGAGAATTTATCCATCCACATCCCACTGGAATTTCGAGGCTAACTTAGGTTTCTTTGGACCCCTTTGCAAGCCCCAGTTGTAATCCACTATATTAGGCAGAGACGTTAACATGAGCAATGATACATTTCTAACACTAAAAATGCAGTTTTTCTGTGGGACCTTCTCACACTGACATCTTGCCTCTGCATTTCGGAATTTATATATTTGTACATTTGTTAGGGAGAAGGAAGATTTTAACATATTTTAATGCATTAGGCTTTGCAAATCCAGGATATCTGAGAGAGAGAGAGAGAAGGTTTACTGGATTTTTTTTCTGAAGACATCAGGAAAATTGTCAACCCTCAGAGCTACCTGTTCAACTTCAGACCTGGTTCATTCTGGATCTGAAAAAGAACAAGAGACCTGGAAAAAAAAATAAATGAAGAATAAGTCTTCACTGGTAAATGAGGAAAGATTCCACAGCCTTCTTCAGCGCCAGGTCCCCAGCTGGGTTCCCAGGTCTGCCAACCCTTTTACTTGATGGCTGGATAGGTTTTAACTCATGTGGATGCCATGTTGCTCTTTCTGCAGCAGATTTCTAAGAAGCAAACTTCACATTGGTTAAGATCCTTGAGAACAATATCATCATCTGTGTCTTATGACACTTTTGTGCCAGCTGTACCTTTTTCCCTCACTGCAAAGTGCTCCACTCCTTTTCACTGGGGGTGGAGCAAAGAGATGCTTTATTGCCATCTGTTGCACCACACTTCAGCCAGGTGCCTCCTTGGCTTCCCTGAAAAATGCTTCTTCAGGGTGATTGAGTATAAAAGTTTATTAAATAAGAAGACAGTAAAATTAAAAGGTCTTTTTTTTTTTTTTTAATGGTCTGGATTTCATCCCCTGCTCACTTATCCAATAGTTGGGCATTGATGAAGCATGAGTTCACTGTTGTGTTAATTGGAATATTCACTTTCACCAATCTGCAACTTCCAAAGACACTCTGATCTTTATCACACTCTGTTTTTATCTCCCTGTAATAATCCTTAACATGTCTGGTTCTGCTGTGTTAGAGGTTGATTTCACTGTCCACACGACATTTGCCACTGTTGTAGTGTGACTTTTTATTTCTGTTTTTTAATATTTGCATTGGTACAGCCTTAAACTTACAGAATTAAAAGTCATTTCAGAGATAATCAAGATAGTCATTGATGTCTGTGATAAGTGCATGCTTTATTCACAGTATTTCGTCTGTAATTAGGTGTAGCGACCAATACTCATGTATTTAATAAACTGTCTTCTGCAAAGTTGACTGCTTTGTTTAATCAAATGAAGGCAACTTACTTGGAATTCTGAGGTCCATTTGTGTGAAAAGCCTCACAGCCCTCTCACAGTTCTCATGTATGAGTATCAGCGTAGTGGGAAGTTCCTGTGGACCTGTGAAGCATTCCAATTAGCAGAGTGCAAATAGGCTCAGCAAGAAATAGCTGCTGCCGTGCCCTGCTGTACTCCTGGGGTCGTGTTACAGGGGAAAAATTAAACAATTGCTTACGTCCTTCCCTGCTTAGGAATGTGCATAAAAACAAGCTTGACTTTAACTGTGTGCTTATTTAATCTCACTGCAGCGTGAGATAAAGCATATAAACTCAGAACGTTTTGGAAGTCAGGTATTTTCTGGAATCTGGTCTGGTTAAAATGGTCCTGAGGCACAGGAGAAATTCCTAGAGTCATAGAACGACAGAACGGCTGGGTTGGAAGAGACCTCAGAGCCCACCCAGCCCTGATCCCCATGCTGCCGCCCAGCAGGTCAGGCTAGAACAGGGCCCATCCAACTTGGCCTGGAACACCTGCAGGGATGGGCACCTGCAGCTTCTCTGGGCAGCTGTGCCAGGGCCTCACCACCCTCTGAGTGAAATTTCTTTCTAACATCTCAGCTAAATCTCCCCTCTTTTGGTTTAAAACCATCCCTCCTTGTCCTGTCACTGTCAGACCGTGAAAAATGTCAGTCCCCCTCCTCTAAGCTCCCTTCAAGCACTGGAAGACCTCAATGATGTTTCCCCAGAGCCTTCTTTTCTCCTGACTGAACAAGCCCAGATCCCTCAGCCTGTTTTCCTCATAGGAGAGGTGTTCCAGCCCTCCAATCCTCCTTGTGGCCTTCCTCTGGACTTTCTCCATCAGCTCCGCATCCTTCTGTTCAATAATATTCTGTTCATAATCTGTTCTGCATAAAATTTCATTTTAAGATTGATCTAGAATAAAATCAAATGTGCCTCCAAAGATGAAATTATTTTAAGACAAGTGTTTCCCAGGTTGGAACATTCAAAACCGGGATTTAAAATTAGAAGAGCAGAACATTAAAGCAAATAAACCTCTCTAAAAGAGAAGCACCCCAAATGGAAAAACAAAACAAAGCTTTGACAGATCCATGGAAGTTCCAAAGCTCCATGGAAGAGCTGCTGTTGATGGGATGATGGCTGTGTTAGAGGAGGGTGAATTCAGATATAAAAGCCTGAGGAAAAAAACAAAACAAAACAAAAAAAAACAAAACAAAAAAAATTAAAATCATTCAGGTAACCAACATGTTTATGCTGGGGCTGAGACCTCAGTGCATGACAGCAAGAGCTGAGTGACAACATGGGTGTGGGACAGAGGAAAATCGTTGCATGGAATGTTCTGCAGATGGGTTTCCACCACCTGGCAGATTCCACCAAATAAATAGCTGTGTGCTGCCCACAGTGGTGCTGCCCTTCAGCACAACCTCTGAGGGGCAGAGGCACCATTCCAGAGGCCCTGCAATTGTTCCAGTGACAAGTGGCAAGAAAATGCAGAGGGCCTGGGATGAAGGGGAAGATGAGTAACGTATGTATGGACAGGTAAAGACAGTCTGTAAGGAGCTGGTTTATTTTGTGATACACTCCAAAGAGAAGCAGGGCCTGGCTGCCATCCCTGGAAAGGGTCACATGATTTCTTCTTAGAGTAGTCTAGTGATTTACATTACAGCTTATGCTAATTGCTTAGTTCTCAGAATAATAGGGAGAAAATAAGAAATAATAAGAAAAACCCCTTGGCTATGTATAAGAAGATAGGCCTATTTATATGCAGGCATTTGGTTCTAGGAGACAAATTTCAACAGATACCTGGAGGAGAATACACACTGGAGACTGGCAGTACATGGCATTATTGCTGCTCCTCTGACAGCTGCGAAGAAATTATACACAGAAGAGACAAAATCCTATGTGTACACAGAAGAGATGAAATCCTGTATGTCACCTCAGAGCTTCTTCTGTACTTGCAAATACAAGAATTTTTATTATTCATGCAAAATGACAAGCAGAATAGGACAGGGGGGAATCCTGCCTTGGATATATACCCAGGGAAAAGCAGGCAGAAGCCTGCAGTGCTGAGGAGGAGGGATGCTGCCAGATGTGGGGTAGTTAATCCGGTGACACAAGGCGATGCCATTCATCTGCATGTGGAAGAAGGTCTCTGTGCATCTGGGCCTTGGCAACGTACACCTGTCAATGTCTGCTCATGGGAACTGCCCTTGCTTCAGGGGAAAGAAGCTGAGATTTAAGGAAAACTCATATTTGAGAGCTCAGCAATTCTGGTGTCCAGCTTTATTGGCTGCACTCTGCTCCTTCTCTCCCTGGCAACATGCACTACAGCTCCTGGCCTCCTCATGGAGCAGAGCATTAAGAATCCAGACATCTAGTGGTGTGTGCATTTAAACTTCAAAGATCTGGCAATGAGTAGCTACACACCATCAGATACTGCCAGTCTGGGCAGAAGTAGGGGGTGTGACGGTTTTGGCAAGCCATGGCAATTTGTTTTTCCTGTATGGTATATCATCTCAATGACAGACATTTAGGAAGAAGAGCTCCTGCCTGTGTAGATGGCCATACTATACCGTTGTTCCAGGTTTTGTAAGGAGCATGGTGTCAGGCACACAACTTTCTCAGCCAGCACTGCTGAGGCATTTAGGCACTGTCTGTTCACACACAGAGCTCACACCCACCGAAAAGTGCTCCCTGAAAATAAACCCTCTGACCTACAGAAAGATGAAGGCAAAAGGTACCTGTGAAGGAAGAGGGCTTTGATTTTCATGCTAGATATCTTCTGTGTATGCAATTTAATGAAGCAATATCTACAGTGGTGGTGATTCAAGCAGCCTGAGTTACACACATAAAAGTGCAGCCTTCTGTGACCTGATCCAGGCCTGCAACCTCTGATCCAATTATAAGGCAGTTTCTTCAGTGCCAGTGTTGGTAAGGCCTTTCTGAAGACAGGATGTATGTTCCTGGCCTCCTAATGCTTTTCCAAATTCTGTCTGACGAGTCTTGGCGAGAACTCATGTCCAGCAGGGTGCAGGCATGGTTAGTGCTTCCTGGCAGCGCCCCAAGGCCTCTATTGAGTAGTGCACGAGTGTTCAGACATCTATCAAAGCTCTCAGAGCATCACTTGGCTGCTGACAGGTGGTGCCAAGCAGAGCAGTGGCACGGTGTGCAGTCATGATAACAGTGATGAAAGCTAGATGGTGATACCCTCATCTTTCAGCAGAACCTGTGCACAGATGCACTTCAGATGTAAGATCCCAGCCTTTTTCATCACTCTCTGAGAAGGAAGATGATAAAGTTCTCTCTCAGACAAAAAGAAGTCAAGCACTGATAAAATAACAATAATAACAATAGAAAGGATGAACAAAAAATAGGAGCAAGGATTTCCTACAAGGTGGAAAATTGGGTAACTCTGGTTTCAGCATTCTGACAGTACCACAGCTTTGGAGATGATAGCTGACACATACCTGCCATCACAGTGCTTTCAATTTGTTTCATTTCTGTTACACTAAGACTTCTCTGCTGCAAGTGCTAGAGCTATGTGGTGCCCATAGTAGCCTTCACTTTCTGAACTTGGCTGTACTTTTAGGTCTTTGAACAACACATATTGATTACTATGGTTTCTAAGGATTGCTCAGTGGAGCCCTTCAGAGCTGACATGCACAGGGCTGCAAAACCCATGAGCTTCATCTCTGTGGAAAGTAGACTTGAATTATAGTGGGTGTAATAAAATTATAGTGGCATCATAAAAATGTATGACTCTTTCATAAAAGAAATTCAGTGCCTGAATATTTACAGGAGGGTTTTTCATCAATCTTCTTTCAGCTCCTTTCTGTAAGGCTGAGGCTCTCCTTTTGAGGAATGTATACTGAGTATCATCACTTATGATGTATCATTCATCAGAACCCACCTATCATGGCTCACTGGAACATAGGACCTCATCTGTTGTGCCTAGCAGAGAGCAAAAAGTGGGCTGAGCAGAAAATCCAGAGACAGTGGTAGTAAATAATAGGAAAAGCTATTTTTAATCCCTTTCCTTCCTTCCTTCCTTCCTTCCTTCCTTCCTTCCTTCCTTCCTTC